AACGTGCAGGGGCCTTCGGCTTGTAAGAGGCGGCTGCTTATGTCGGTGGCACACAGCAAGCTGCTGTACGCTTCACCGGTCTGGGCTCTGGCGGCGGTGAGGGCAGCTCGGAATAGGGTAGCCCTCAGTCAGGCGCAGAGAGGTGCCGCTATTCGGATTGCGAGGTGCTACAGGACCGTGTCTGATATGGCAGCTCTGGTTTTGGCTAGAATACCTCCAGCCCACCTGCTGGCCGATGAGCGACGCAGAATCGAGGAGCGAAAGCGGGAGCCCACGACGGTGGCGGTTATAAGAAGGCAGGAGCGCGAGGTAACGCTGCGCGAATGGCAGGTAATCTGGGATCACACGACGAAGGCGGCTTGGACGAGGAGGATGATTCCAGACATCAGGAGGTGGGTGCATCAGTCAAATCACGAAGCCATGACTTTCCACATGGCTCAGGCTTTGACGGGTCATGGATGCTTCCAGCACTACCTGTGGAAGAGGAGGAGAGCAGATGACCCCCACTGCATGCACTGTGATGAGCCGGACGACACTGTGGAGCACACATTGTTTAACTGTCCGTTCTGGGCAGAAGACAGACGGGAGATGGAGCAATGCGTCGGCCGGCCACTACAACCCAATGATGTGCCGGATATCATCCTGGGACCGGAACAGGAGCTCCTCCCAGATGCTGCATCCAGGAGGCGGCGTATTGAGGCGATGGCGGAGGGACTGAGGTTGGCGTTTGGCAGAATGGTGGAGGCGATTCTCGGGCGGAAGGAGGATGCAGAGCGGGTTAGGCAGGCGCGATTATTTTAATGGTGACTGAGTTTGTGGGCCGAAGGCCAAATACCTAGGGTGGTTAGAGGCCCCCACGTATGTACTTTATAGTTTATATTATAGTTGTATTTTGTAGTGACGGTGAATAAACGATACGGGCTCGGGTGGCAGTATTGTGCTAAACAGTTCCCACCCGTTCCTGTTTATAAATTAAAAAAAAAAAAAAAAAAAAAAGGTAAATTTAATTTAATTTTGGTCAATTGTTTTGCCAGTTCTCTAGGGGTTACTAAACTTGGGTGTAAAATTCCTGTTCTAGCTGCTGTAATTATAGCACTTATAGTTGTGGTTTCATAAGAAAATTGAGTAATTAATGCAGTAAAAATGTTGTGTATTCTGTTGCTAATGATCATTGTTTCAATGGTATGTGTGTGATTAGCGGCTTCATTTAATTTTTTATAGATTTTTATAGATTTTAGTGTTTTCCCTAATTCAATATATCAATTTTTCATTTCAGTGGATGTATTTCTTATTCCTTGTACTACTGACTTTACTACAGTGGTTTGTTTTTCAAAATGTGCAGCATATTTTCATTACTGGTTTCTATCATTTCAATGTTACTATTAGTTTCTTTTGTGCAATCATCATCGCATACCCCAAATAACGTTTTCATAGCACTTCCTATAATGTTTATCAAGCCTCGCCTATTCCTAATGACTGATGATATTTTTCTATCTGTGTTCACGTATCTACCTATAGATTCATACATTTGCTCCCTTTGTGACGCTATCTCCATAAACATTGTCTTTACCACATGAGCAAACCATAAACATACTTCATACTCGGACAACATATCCTTACAATGTATTGGGTCGTATTATCAATTTTTATTGATAATTGTTCATATCTATTATTATAATTAGCTAATGGTACATAATATGTTACAAGTTCCCAATGCACTCCTATTAATCTCAGTTCACCTTGATTTTCGAAAAATATGGATGTTTCGTTTTTAAATTCATCATTATAGTACGGTAGATGACCTTGGATGATGGGAATGCAGAACAACCTATACAAAGAATAATTAAAATAAATCGTAATCGTATACAACGTTATGGTTTTCCTATAATAATATGATTAAACGCTTTGCTTATTATCCATTCTTATGTCACTCTGTTATAATTTACTAAAGGTCGTCTAAACATGATCCATTCAAATTTCAAAATTACAAAAATATTAATCCGTAGCTGTTAACTAATGGAACTCTTTTACCTGTTGTCATGACAACTTCTTTACTTATAATTAATTCCTAAAATTATATATATATATCTTTTAATGATTACATTTGTATACTATTTTAATTATAATCTTGTTTCTGGTAACTCTAGGTCATCGAAAGTTGAATAAGATCTAACAGTTATTGAATTTAAATAATCAAATCGACTTTTTTCTATTAATTTGTAATAATGACATAAATTAATTACTGCTATAATCATTGCTAATATTATTATTCCCATTATTACACATATTACATATACATATTTAAATTCTAACCCTTTTTCTCCTACTAGTTCATAGATGATAGCAGTGGTCCTTATTGATTCACTGGACTTGGTGATTTCCTTTAGGTCATTGGTTTGGGTGGATTTCTCAAGAGTGATGGTGGTTATGTGTGATTTACTGACAATAGTTACATTATCAGATTCGGTTGTTGCACTCATTGGTTTTGTCACATTTTCTTTAATTGCTTGTAGGGTAATCATACCTGAATTATTAATAGTTACATTTAGAAAGAGGTCATTTATTGGTGTAGTTATCGGATATTCTGTGTTATTCAACTTGGTAGTTGTTTCCAAAATATCGGATAAAGATCTTTCCTTGTTTCTTTTCCTAAACCAGTTGCATTAGTTGAATTATCTTTAATTTGAAACTCGTGACCAGGTATTGGTTCTACATGTATTCTTTGTTCGAATAATATTTGTTCTCTTGTCAAACCGAATTGTGTTGAAACTACCCCTTCATATCCTATTCCTTCTGTTCCTAGTAAATTTATCGAACAATGTTTCCAAACATATACTGATAAAGAAATTACTCTTTGTCGGTGAACATGGCTTCATCAATTATTCCATTACATTTTATATGAATAAATCGTAAGTTACACCTTTGTTCATAAACTTTGGGTAACCTTATCACATTATCCTGGATACTTGTGACGCTTTTTACCATGAGCCCTCCTAGCGGTGTTGTTTCATTAAACAATATTTTAGTTTCCCTCATTGCTTCTTCCGGAATCCCTGATTGACCATGAATCACCAGTAACCCAATTAATCTATAACATAATTATTTGTGTTAATGTTCTTTTCGTAATATTTTAGTAAGTCGTCGATTTCTGGTATAATTTCCAAGACTTATTAGGACAAAGTTCTAATTCCAGTAAAAGTTAATTTGTTTAATTTGCTTTATTAATTAGGGTTGGTATTAAATAAAAACAAGATGTGTCTAATTTAAGTAAATATGATTTTTAATTTAAAAAAAAAAATAACCAAAAAAATAAAATTAATAAAAATTTAAAATAACCAAAATAAACAATCTAACTCAACCGCCGCCTGTCCTCGGCTTCTTGCATGGCCATCCCCCTTCCTCGTGCCATACACCTCATGGCATAGTTATTCCATACCCTGCGATTTATCTCTGGATTGGTCTCGTAGAACTCGCTTGCTACTCGCCAAGCCAGTCTTGCACCAGCACGAAGCTCCGCTCTAATTTCTTCCCCAGTTAATGGTGGTGGGCTGAAAGGTCGCCCTGCCTACAGGTATTCTTACAGGTGGTCTTTTGATGTAAATAACCGTTCTTATTGTATATGTATAACAAGGTAACGAACTATAATATCACTAAATTATTTATTTTTTTCCAATGTTTAAGTTAATAATCTTTATAATTAAGTTATTTTTTTTTATTTCATATATTGATCTACGTATTCTAGTAAAATTTCTGGCTCTGGTATATACATTTTGTAATCGACCAGGTCCATGGAACATTGTTTTCCCAACCTCCCTTTCCTTTTCGATACATCATATGAAAAGGTTACGATACTTTAGGAGATCATTCTGATTTCGCTTTTCGAAAACGGTTCGTCTAACCATTCGTTTGCGCTTTCTATGTGTCCTGGTAGACACTTTGGTAAATTACCGCCTTGAAGTGTGGTCCACCGTCGAATGATGTAAAACAGTAGGTGTTAGCATCAAATAAAATAACACACAGTTTGCTTATAAATAAGATTACCGATTTATTGTATTGAACACTAAAGAATTAATGTATATAATGATAAAACTATTACTGATTTAATAAATTAAATATTGAAGAACTGATAATAAAAATAATTTATATAATAAAAAAACTATTATTATGAGAGGTTCTGATAAAAATTATATGAGGCTCTGTAATAAACTATAAAGGATGCTCTGCTTAGTAACACGGGTGTTACTCATTCTTTTGACCAGACTCGACTGCCTCTAGCTGGCGGGGCTGTGCCCATGGCCTGTCCCGAGCCTTTCGGAATGTGCTCGCTCAGCGTCTCGTAGTCGTCACGTAGGCGTCCGTGGGAACCAGACAGTTCTCATACACGCACCACTCGCCACTAGACTGAGTCAACCCATTCATACTTATCATGTTACCCGTTTACAACATACCCCCAGTTTTAAACTGGAGCAGTCCCTGCGACTCCTTTTACTACTGTTACTGTTACAATTTCTTAAACTACGATTACAATCCCTTAGACTATGATTACAATTCCTTAGACTATGATTACAATTTTTTCAGCAACTTGCATGTTTCCGCTAAGATCCTGCTTAGAAACTCCGTGCCTTGGTCACTAACCAACATGATTGGTATTGAATGGAGACATACACTTTGTGACATACAAAGTGATACGCCACAGTGTTGGCTTCATGATTTTCCATTGGACTGGCCATGGAGAATTTCGTGAGATCACACTGCATAGTTAAGATGTAGGCATTCTTGCTGTCTGTCCTTGGTAAGGGACCAACCACATCAATAAATACCTTCTCGAAAGGTTCTGTGGCCGTGGTACTTATGACCATTGGTTGCCTGACGTTCTTGTTGCATGTCTTGGGTATCTGGCATGATGAACACTTAGACACATACTCCTTCAAATCATCTGCTAATCCCTCCCAGTTAAATTGCGCCTGAATACGTTTTAACGTTTGGTTTATACCGCGGTGTTATCCTAAGATGCTGGAATGGTGTTTGGCAATGATTTCTTGTTTTTCTGCATGTTTTATCTCCGTTAGCGAATAAAAATGAATTTCTATGTCTGTTTCCTTGAATATAAACCGGATCATGGTTCGGATGGATAACCAATCCAATTGGTCGAATCCGCTGCCATAGCGGGGCATTTCTAGTTTTTTGATATTTAGTTCAATGCACACAAATTTGAGGTTCTGTACGGTCAGGAACATATCCTCCAAAGATGGTTTTTGCCAGTACTTTGGTTTCGTCACCATATACAGAATGTATCGATTTTCTTGACGTATGTACAATACTCCATGAATTTTGGGATGCTGACTTTTTAATATCTCTACGTTTCCAAATTTTCTGCGAAACATAATAGCCATGCCCTGGCTCATTTTTACGTCTTGTGATATGTAATGCGTGATACTGTAGTTTAATGGTGCGTCAAATAAATCTCCCGTTTCCTCTATTACCATGTTATTGACTAAAGACTTGCCGGTTATTAGTTCCAAGTAGGTATCGAAACTAACTCGGGTGACTGGGGTAGATATTTTGTTCAGCATAACTCTCCCCATACGACTGAGTGCATCCGCATTCGTGTTTGCGACGCCTGGTTTGTAGATCACCTCGTATTGATATTCTGCTAACTTAATTCTCCATCGCATGAGCCTGGACCCAGGGTCCTTAACATTAAATAGCCACGTGAGTGGCTGATCTGTGTAAATCTTGAACTATCTGCCCAGTAGATATGGCCTAAAGGGTTCGACTGACCATACAATGCTTAGCAGTTCCTTTTCCGTGGTACTGTAGTTTTGCTCTGCCTTGTTTAGCGTACGTGATGCATATGCAATTGGTAGATCTTGCCCTATTTCCCGGCCTTGAGAAATGACACTCCCAATTGCATACTGACGCGCATCGGTGGTCAGAATAAATGGTTCCTCGAAGTTGGGGTATTGGGGTATCGGAGCTTGAATGAGTTTCCGGATGAGTGTCTCAAATGCTACTTGGCACTCTGCAGTCCACTCGAAAGGTTGCCCCTTTTTTAACAGGGTTGTTAACGTTTTGGCTATTTGGCTATATTGCTCAATAAATCTTCTATAATACCCAGAGAGTCCGAGAAATTGCTTTATCTCAGTCGGGTTCCTTGGTACCAGATGATCTCGAACACAACTGATTTTCGCCGGATCTGGTTTTACACCAGTGTCCGTTATCAGATGCCCAAGGTAAACTACTACACGTCTGAGGAATTGACATTTGCTTGGCTGGAGTTGGAGGCTGAATTTCCGAAGTCGCTGAAATACTTCTTCCAATCTTATCTCATGTTCTGTAAGATCCGCTGCATAGATCATGTCGTCTATATATACAAACGCTTTGATGCCGTTGAGGTCTGTTAATGCAGCGTTCATCAGAACGTACTAGGTGCTCCGCTTAATCCAAAGGACATTTGGATGAACTCGAAGTGGCCCTTGTCCGTTGAAAATCCGGTCTTCACACGATCCTGCGGACGAATCGGGACTTGATGGTACCCGCTGGCGAGGTCCAACGTAGTGTTATATCTGGAGCGTCCTAGCTGATCTAAGATCTCGTCAATTCGAGGAATTGGAAACGCATCCCCGATGGTTTGCTGGTTGAGCCGACGAAAGTCTACTCAAACTCTGAATTGTGGATTTCCACTAGCATCGGGTTTCTTTGGGACTACCACTAAAGGTGCATTCCATGAAGATTCTGAAGGCTGGATGATTCCGTCTTCTTCCAATTTTTCCATCTGCTCTACTATAACTTTTCTATGGGCGTAGGGAAGTCGTTACGGTCTGATATTCACTGGAGCTGCTCCCGTTTACGTCTTGATGTCATGTTGGATTGCTGTAGTGAAGGGGACAGCATCTCCTTCGAGGTGGAATAAATCCTGATATTTCTTGCATACTCCCTATATACTGGCCCGCTCCTCGTGGTTAAGATGATCTGTTTGGATAACCTGTGCGAGCTCCTTCATCCGATTTCCCTTATTTGACTGCTCCGCTGATTCGGAACAGAGGTGTACTCTTGCCCCTTCAAAGAGGTCATATTGCACTTTTGCTGGCTGAGGTGGGCGGAATTTGATGGAATTCCCTGAAGGATTCACCATGGGAAAAAATATCTGGTAATCTTATACGGAGTTAACGACATTTCCTAATAATAATACTCTCTCCTCCCCGATGGTCTGTGCATGAAATATTAGAGTTATGTCATCTTCCTTGTCTGTCATGATGGGCATCAGCGTTTCCGATCGTGGTTGGATGACTAGGGTTTTCGGAAATGTTCTCTGTATGATTTTCTGTATGTTCTGTTGACAAAGTAGAGGTTCTGAAGTTGATGTTAATACCATTATCTCTAAAGAACGGTGCACCCATGATTCCGGCTACCACTATCGGAAAATGGTCATGGACCACCTGAAACTTCACAGTTGCTTCCTTCGTACCAAGATGGACCCTTAAAGCAACTGACCCTATGGTGTACACTAGTTGAGAATTAATAACCTTTAGCTCATTTATTATGATCTCATCCACCAATATATCCTTTCTTAGTTCTGTTAGTTTGATTATATTTACATCACTCCCGGTATCGACTATTAATCTTACATTTTCTTGAATACACTGTACAATTTTGAGACACGTGGAATTATTTACAAGTCTTGCTGAGAAGTGGAAGGTTGCTGCAGACTCAATACAGCGCTCTGAATTTGCTGAACCGATCGTGCGCTGCTCGGATTCGGTTCCCCTCCGTTTCCCGCATTTTGTTGTTCTGTTGAAGCTTCTCTTCCACCCTGTTGCCTTTTACTATTTACGTATTGTCTTTTTCTTCATACTTCTAATTCCTTTTCTTTCCTTTTACAATATCTGCAAACTTATACTGATTTTGTGGGAGTTTTCGAGTTATTTTGCGGCCCATTCTGCTGACTGGATTTGAATCTCTCCTGATCCCATGACGACGCTCTGCATTCCCTGGCAAAATGGTTAGTTCGCCCACACTTAAAACATCCCTTACTAATGTTGCTGCTTTTGCTACTATCCTTCTGCTTGAACACGGTGTGATTTGCTTTTGAGTGCCGAGACTGTTGATCCTTCGAGTTTTTTTTATTACTGAATAATTGCTGAGTTTCTTTGGCAAGGTTTTCTTCCGTTTCCTCCTCTAGTGCATATGCCAAAGCTTCCCTAAGGTTCTTGGGACCTCTAGATTTAAGGAGAATTCGATACGATTCTGGCATCCTACTTATAAACGCGTTGAGTATCTGATTGCGCAATAGCTTATCAATATCCTCCCCATTTATGGAGTCTCCACTTTCCATGGCTGCATCGATTAAATCGTGCATGAGTTGCTCCATCTTATCGTGATAATCTTGTACCCCTTCACCTGAACTCATTTTGCATGTGAGCATCTTCATCTATAATTAGGGTGGCAATTTCTTCTTGTCTGACATTACCGCTTTCCGGAAATCCTGATAGGTCTCGATTTCTTAATACCTGATTGCCCGTAACGCTCTCCCGGACAATTTAACAGTCATCCCTTGCACCAATAAGCTGATTTGGCCTGGGTCAATGATTCTGACTACAAAATCACATGCCCTAAGAAATCGATGTACTGCTTTTGAACTTGTCCCATCGAAAACTGGTAGTAACCTGAGTGCTTGTTCTACGCTCGTAGACAATCTGTTGACATTTGGTCCGGAGCCCACTTGGCTTGAATCATCTGTTGATACTGATGCTTGAGTACCGTCCATTTTCCTGTAAACTTGTGTTATTGTTGAGTCCTGTAAATTTAGTCTCGAGCCCAGAGGACTTGAGCTGACTTGCTGCCTTACATTTTAAGAGTCTCTGGAACTCGAATAGTTTCTTGAAATGCCACGATGCTCTGGAAGTTCTGAGTATTTTTGATTTTCTGAAAGTTGTTGATTTTCTGGAGTTTCTGTGTGTTGTTGGTTTTCTGAAAGTTCTGAAAGTTGTTGATTTTCTGGATTCTCTGTGTTTTGTTGATGCTTTGGAGGTTCTGAATTTTTTTGATTTTCTGTATGCACTGATTGTTGTTGACTTTCTGGATACTCTGTGATTTGTTGATGCTCTGGAGTTTCTGTGTGTTGTTGATTTCCTGGATGTTGGATTGGTTGAAATTCTGTGTGTAGCTTGGTCCTTCGACTTCTTAGTAAAAACCTAGTTGACCCTAACAGTTCGTCCGTTCGGTCTATTGTATCCCCTGCCCTTCGTAGGAAACCACTAATTGGTACCTACAATTCTCCACTAGATGGCCCACTACTGAAGCTGTCCAAATCTATCAAATCGACATCAACGCCATAATTTGTCCGACATGCACTAGCAAAAAGACCCGATTATTAGATAAATTAAATAAACTGAAGCTAATTATTATTTTTTTTGAAAGAAAATCCCAACAATAGAATATTCCAATACATTAATAAATCCCACTAAATTAGGATTAACTCCCTTTTTGAAAAATTAGCAAGACAATACTAGCGATACTAGATAACGTGAAAAAAAAATAATAATTATTATTATTATACTAAAGAAATAAGTACCAGATAATTTAATTGCCCCAAGTAATTATAAATAAAAACTTACGAAACGATGTATAGTAAATACTGTTGCATTATGATGGTGTTGATACTCGATTGTTATTGTTTACCGCGTGATAATAATTGAATTGTTCCACTGACCCACTGCTCGGCGACGTTGACCCACTGCCTGGCGACGTTATCTAGCGAAACCACAGCCAGGTAGCCGGCGAATAACTAATAACCGGCCGTGGACAGCTTCGATTAAATGACCCGTAGTTCCGGACAGTATGTCCTCTGGGCCGGTTCACGGTCGCCGGTTGGGCCACCGACCAGCCGGTGGTGCTCTTAATACGAGTTGAGAGCACGGGCGCCGGAGTTCGTCCGAGAACCGTCCAGCAGCCGGGCGTCTCAGCGTAAGCCGGGTTCGGGCATGTCTCCGGGACACTGCGGTGAGTGTTACGGGCTCGCGGCTGATGGCTCGTCTGCTTAGAGTCCCTAATTCGGTAGGCGAGGGTGGTCGTCGCAAATAGAAAGGTAGAGCTGTAGTCAGCTTGGGCAGAGCGCCTCGGCTCGGCAGGCATCCGGGTCGGGACGTTCGGCCAGACTGACCCAAAGAACGGGTCCTTGCTGATGATGGTTCGAAAGGGTGGTGGCCGAGATTAATTTCGCACCTCGCGGACGCCCGTCCGCGGTTAAGGCAAACCAATGCCCGTCTTGCCGGACAGAACTGGTAGCTTTCGAGGGGGTGAGAGTCTGACTGAAGACGCTTCAGTACCACGGGAGTGAGTGGGGCCCCGTCGGCAACGACGCCGCTCACCGCGGACGTCCAGTGATGGTTCACGCCCCTGTTGCTGGTAGGAATCGTGGTGGCGGTTTTCTTACGAATACTTTGTGGTTAAGTCAATAGATGCTTATTCTAAGTTCTCGCTGACAGGCGAAAACCTTTGATGAACGGCCGCCGCGACCCGGGGGCGCGAGTCACCGGTTCGTTGTCGGTTCCTCTCGGGCGTCTAGCCGCTTTACCGGTGTAGTATCTTCAGAGGTTGAGTGTAACCAGAAACACTCGGTGTGGGGATAGCACACAGCCAGACCAGGCTAATTCAGGCGGCACTTGGCCTGTCTTCTTGGTACGGGACCTCGGTTCCGGTGCTCGTGGTCCGTAGACGACGCGCGGTCGACGGACTGGGCCACCGTACGTCGACCGTGAACCTCCGCGGCCCACGAATAGCGCACAGCGCTAATGTGAGGTCCGCGGTTGTAGCCGCAAGGCGTCAAAACCCGGGAGTCTTCGTGCCTGGCGACTTTGACTTTGCCCCTACTAGGGTGGCGACGGCGCGTACCAGAACGAAGACTCCTCCCTGACGGTGACACTGTGTAACACGGTTGCGGCGGCGGCGACGACGATGACAAAGGTCGTCTTTGTCGGTGCGTACGGAGCGCTGTTTCACTGCTACTACGTATCGGCGGCGGCGCGTATGATATTATGAATATTATATACGACACTCAACCACGAATATAATGGCGGCGCGTATTGAACGAATTAAGGGGGCTGGAGCGTAGTCCATTCTAAGGAGTAAAAACTAGGCAATTTATATTGCAGTGTATATGGGTTCATGTCAATGTGTTGGAAGTAAATGAACATAAGTGTGTGTAATTCGTAATTGTGTACTCTCCGAACTCACTATCCGTTCGAAAACTGGTTTAACATAATAGCCATTGTCATTAGACATGCTGCAATTCACCGAATTTACAATAATTATTACCTAATTACGATAACATAATAATAATATTATTGTACTTAATTAAATGGTAATAAATAATAGATAATACTTCATAGTAAATGGTTTTTTTAAATTACTGCACTACATAGGTATACTTAATTTCGACTAACCTTGAACTTCAAATAATTGTAAAAAAAACTGTTTTTATATATTTTTTAAATTTGTTGGTTACAGTATGAACTACTTACGTAGAATCTTATTTTACATTTTTAAATATATTTTTTCCTTAGCTAAAAAAATTGAACATTTTTAACTGCGAAATCATTTGTAAGCTTTCAGTATGATAAATTGCTCAGAAAGATCAAAATATTTTGAAAGTTATACCATATAATATTATAAAATAAAAAATGTAAATATAAAAATATCAATACATCGAGTATCTAGACAAACATTTTTAAATAGGTATACCTGTATAATGTAAAATATAATTTTATTGAATAATCATAATGAATATTATAATACCACGAAAATAAAACCTATTACCTATACCTTTATATAATATATTCTGTACATAACATTACCATAGGTACTAATAAATAATAATCATTAAATAATTGTGTGTGATTCAGTGAATAATACCGATTACGTTGTATTGGGGCATCATAGTGACCGGATATGTACAGCTGTGATTTTACCTACTCGCATGCACATGTCAACCACATATTGGCTTATAAAATTAATAACATTTTTTTTTTCAAAAAATACGGCCAATGACTTCAATCACTACGCTTAGTAGAATGTTCCGATTTAAATTTAGAAAGCAGATTTGAATTCTCCTCTAAATTTACTATGCTTTGACTGTCGTACATTTTTCATATTCAATATCAATGGATTTAAATTTGAATTATAAAAATGATCAATTTTTACTCTTTTTGTTAGTAAATTCCTAAGTAAAAAAAAAATAAAAATCAGAAAAATAAAATTGTCAAAGCATAGAGAATTTAGTGACGAATTCAAATCTGCATTCAAAATTAAAATCAAAACATTATATTGGGCGTAGTGATTGAAGTCGTGAGATATGTTTTTGACCGAAAATGAATCACTCTCCAGCCCCCTTAACACTATTTTATAAATCGTATGAACAACGTGAACGGGTTGCCTAGACGGCGGCGTGGGACGATGATGCCGACCCGCTCGTCCGTTGATATAAAGTATATAGATGTATATAGAATACGCACGCGTATATATTTATATATTACACCCCATCGATCGGATGTATAATATGACACGCCGTTACGACAATGCTGACGGCGCGGCGGTGTGTTTAATATCAATATGACAATATATTAAACTATATTATATTTAGTATGTAGTATGTACGCCATATATACCTCTGGTGGACACCCGTGCTTCCAAATACTGAACGAATTACTGTATAGATTTTCCATACCGTTTTTTTTTTCTTCTGATTTTCTGACACCAAAACCAGTTGAACCCAGACGGCGGTAGTTCACATATATTCTTTAGCGATCTCCAAAATTGCACTGTCGCAAAATGAATGCCACGGCACAAGAAATGACCGTTGAACCTCAACCTTTACAAAATTTTCGTACCAACCTCCCTCCATTTGCCAAAAATAAAGTTACTGTCTTTTAGTGGGGATATTCTACAGTGGCCCACCTTCCGTGACAAGTTCGTTGCGTTAGTCGATTCAGATCCCGAATTATCCCCAATCGAAAAGTTCCACTTATTAGCAGGTTGTTACTGACAAGGCTGCCACCGTGGTTAACTCGTTGAAAATGACAGATATGAATTATCCAATTGTGTGGCGAAAGTTAGTTGATCAGTTCGATAATCCTCGTCTATCTGCCTCGACATTAGTAGACGGACTTCTAAGCTTTCGCCGAATGGAATTTGAAACCGTTCCAGGTTTATCAGCGTTCCTACATGTTTTTGACGAAAGTTTGCAATCGTTGAAAACGTTCGACATCGAAGATGTGTCTAGTTTTATTATGTTTGTATTAGCAAATAAAAACCTTCCACGTGGTACGCTGGAATTATTTGAAAAGGATAACTATAGCACTTTTCCTGGTATTGAAGATTTGGCAAAGTTCGTTCAATGTCGTATAAAAATCTTGGAAAATATTGATGGTGCTAGAGGTAAGCACATGCCTAAAGACAAATCAAACGGTAGGTTCAATGACAAGCCCACTGGTAAGTTGATGATGGTATCAGCACAGGCGATGCAAACCCCAAATGTCCGATTTGTAAAGCACCTCATGATATACAAGTATGCTCAAAGTTTTTATCTATGCAACCTCCGAAGCGGTTTAAGATGATAACTAGTTTCCGTCGGTGTTTCCGATGTCTGAGTGCTACTCATGTATCATCAGCCTGTACCAGTGACGTTTTTTCTGCTACATGTAAGGGGTCACATCACAGTTTATTACATCTCCAAAAATCTAGGGTCAGACCACCATCAGGCAATGGTGGGAGTTCAGGCTCGGCACCAGGTGGTATGAATTGTGGGGCATCATCTAGCTCTATATCGACCGGTGCCGTATCTCATGTTGGAAAAATGGGACCATCCACGGTAGTTTTGGGAACAGCCATGGCTCACACCCGTGATCGGTTCGGTCAAACCGTGGATGTACGAATTTTAGTTGATTCAGGGTCGCAAATTAGTGCTATAACCGAATCGTGCGCCCACCACCTCGGATTAACTATTAAAAAATGGTCGGTCCCAGTGTCAGGATTGGCCGGTGTTACGCTAAACACAGTGAAAGTTTTAACTTCGTGTACCATTACACCTAGGTTCGAAAGTAAAACCGAAATCGAGGTCAACACATGGGTGTTACCAACCATAACTGTAAACTTACCGACGTCACCACTTCCGGCATCCATCAAGAGTTCATATGCTCATTTAGCGCTGGCCGACCCCAAGTTTGACATTCCAGCGACGATCGATTTGTTGTTAGGCGCGGATTTGTATCATCATGTGTTCGATGGAAAGCAGTATTCTGAAGAAGGTAATCCCACGGCGTATAGTTCTATATTTGGATGGATACTTATTGGTCCGGTATATCCTGCCGCAGCTTCCTATCATCAAGCTGTTGTTGTTTCTTTGGCGACATCATTAGAGGATATGGTTCGGAAATTCTGGGAAGTTGACCGCACTTAGTGAAACTACTGAAGACGGATTTTGTGAAAAGTTATTCTTCGAACACACTATGATAGATCGATCCGGTAGGTATATAGTTCCGTTGCCGTTTCGAGACGCTAATCCGCAAAAAATGTTGAAAGGGACAAGGAACATAGCCCAAAAGCGATTCTTAAATTTAGAACGAAGATTAATTTTAAATCCTACTTTTTATGAGGCGTACCGTGATTTTATGGCTGAGAATGTCAGGTTAGGGCATATGCAAGTGGCTAACACTCCTTTCGATTACATCATTCCACATCATGCCGTCACCAAGGACGAAAATGGGAAATTGAAGATCCGTGCAGTATTCGACGCGTCTTCCCGATCCTCAGGTTAGACATTCATTGAATGATGTATTTTTGACGGCTACATCTTTCAAACACCGAAAAACCGTTATTTCAGAGCCCGTGACGTTCGCAGCTACCGCAACAAACAGTGTTCGTACATCAGTTCTTTTGGCAACGGCTATCGTGGTTGTGCAAACCACACATGGGTACTCTGTTAACGTAAGAGCTTTATTAGATAGTGCTAGCCAAAGCAGTTTCATGACCGAACGCTGTGTACATCTGTTGGGACTTCAGCGAGAAAATCGAGATATTGTGGTACAAGCTCTGGCCGGTACCCAGGTTCCAGTCGTTAAAGGAAGTACCACCATTAACGTACGGCCAGTAGGTCTCGAAAATCCCCAATTGAATGTTAACGCTTTAATATTACCCCGCATAACCGGTCCTATACCATCAGAACGCGTTTTCACGGAACCTTGGCCACATACAGTTGGGTTAAATTTAGCAGACCCTGACTACGAGAAACCACTACCCGTCGACATTCTATTAGGAATTATTATATAAATATTATATAGGAATTTATAGATAAAAGAGTTGGCAACACCGGTCAACCAACAGCTTTATCTACAGTTTTTGGATGGGTATTAATGGGGAGAACCACATGCGCTACGAAAAATAAGATTGTCACAATGTGTTCAACACTGGAATCCGTTTATCAAACCTTAAAACGCTTTTTTGAAGTGGAAGAAGTTCCAAATGTCGAAAAAAGTTGCCCAGTTGATTTAGAGTGTGAGCGAATCTACCAGTCAACCACAACGCGTCAACCAGACGGTAGGTACGTAGTCCATTTACCGTTCCTGAAAACCCCTCCACAACTTGGACAGTCAAAAGATCAAGCCTTGAAACGTTTATATCATTTAGAAAACCGATTTGCAAAAAATCCTGTTTTGCGTGAGGAGTATAACAAAGAAATGAGGGATTACCTAGATACCACCCATATGACCAAATTAAATCAAACCCTTACAAATGAACACAACACTTATTACATTCCACATCATGTAGTTATACGGCCTGATAGCACAATCACAAAAATACGAATTGTTTTCGATGCATCGGCAAAAACATCTTCTGGGATGTCATTGAACGATAACCTCTATTGCGGTGTTACATGCGGCCCTTCAGGGATCCAAAAGCTGGTGTACTTGATAAATAATAATAGTCAATTAGAATGGTAATCAAATGTATTATATTAAACCAGACAAAACAAGCAGAATAATAGTGTTGATTGTAGTGAATTTGTAGCTCGTTCCGAAGTTGATAATCTCCGTGTAAGTCGTGTGTGATGGCTGGGCGGCTAAGCGAGTCGTGTGGTGTTCTCGTCTCTGGATACATCTAACTCAGGCTGTCTCGCTGTCCCCTATATATATGGTGGCGGCGTCCTTTGAAAGTGAGCGGCGCGTGTACAGTCGTCCTTGATATGGACCTCACGACTATGAAAGTGGTATTCGTAGTCGAAAACACTTTTGGGTGTGGTCGCATTCCTGGTTGTTATTATGAGCAAATATATGATATTGCGTAATCCCATTACACCTCCCTACCAAAAAAAAGATTGTTAACCTTTAAGGGTTAAGAATCTTTAACATCGTTAATTAATAGTTTACAATGGCTGAATTACATTGTTTACATTGACATTTTAAATTTTGTATGCAGTTACCATTTTGATTATAGTTTTACATTTGATTACAATAATGTGAGCATTTTACAATTTTAATGTCATCATTATTATTATTATTATTTTTTTTCTTTTGTTCATATTACAATTTTAATTGTGGTTAGTAAAATACATGATTTAATTAAACAAATAGTGTTAATAAGAATGATTAATAATCTTTAATAAAATAATATATGTACCTGAAATTATAACATTATAAGCGTTACGTAAGTATAAAATTTAAGTATTTCCCCTTTTATATAATAATAATATTTATCTTCCACCTATATACTAATCTTATGTGAATAATTGTTAGATTTGCCATAGACATATGCAACTATAGATTTACTTAAGGTAATTCATTATGTAATTGGATATATAATGAATGTTAATTTATTTATTTGTTTTCATTGTTTAATTTATTTTGTGTTAGATTTATTATTAATTATTATAACTTATTTATTTTTAAAATTTCATAATTATTTTTTTTTAAATTATATAGTTTAATGGGCTTTATCTTTGTTACTATGTAATTGAATAAGCATTTTGTTAAAATTACGTCCGCAACCGGATCATGACAATGTGTAATATTATGATTAATATCGCATGCTAGTTCATGAGCTTCTGACAATCCTAACATTCTACTATTTTTATTACCTAAATAGCCTGAATATAATATTTGCTTAGTTTCTAGGTTTGTTAATTCTATTATATATAATCATCGTTATTCCTAACGCTAATTGCCGATATGTTTAAATATGCTAAAATTCCTGTTAATCTTAAACGCTTAATTATCGTGATATCTGACGATCCGTTCCAAAATACTATTAGCGGCTCCCTATCGTTTATGTGCAAATATCTTTGCAAGTATACCGTAGACAAGGTCGATCCCCCCTGGTGACTTATATTTTTGTATAATTGTTCCAGCAATGGTTTAATCACTCTTGCCTTTTTCCCTCGGAATACTCGTTTGATATTCTGCACTATTTTCTTTAGGTCGCATCGGCGGAATCTTCTTAACTTATCATCCTTTGTAAGTATAAGAGGACTCCCCTCCAATTTCTTGGGTTGGTATTTTTCTAAACTATTCGATATCGCGCCGGATACCAGTATCGTTTCGTTCTTACTGACGGTAAAGAACTCGAAATCCATTATAAAAAAGCGTACCTGTGAGCTAAAATAAAATAATTATTTTTCTTTAAAAAAAACTTAAATTGGTTTTTTTTTTTTTTTTAGTATTTATTGCTATGTATATGATATATGATATATGATACATGATATATGATATTTGATATATGATATAGTTTTCTGAGGTTATTCTTCGAAAATCGTTTCAATGATTTCGCGTCGTCTGATTAGTTGTTCTATTAGTAAACCCAACTCTACACACATTGGTCGATTATGATTTGGTCTTAAGATAACTGTGCGTACAAAATCATTAACATGGATCATGACCCGTGCTAAGAAATTCGGCCTGAAAGGTATGGTCATATTACTATTCGCCCTTCTTATATGTTCTGGGAAGCAATGTAATCTGTCCCTTTGAGTTATTTGTGGATGATTGGCTGATTCAATTAATTCGTTTTTTAATTCTCTGAGAAACTCAAATGTTTGTAGTTGCATTCGAACGGTTCGTGCTACAGGTGGTATGTTCTCACCCATTTTGTACTTAAAATTTTTACGTTTGTTTTTATATATATTTTTTGTTTTCTTCTTAATTTCTGAAATAGTTAAAAGTTATTGTTATATAAGTATTATTTAGAATATTATTTACGTATATGTATATATTATTATATTTTTTATGCACGTAATATTTTTTTATTTATATTATAGGATATTATTTTACGTATTATTTCCTTATGCACGTATTATATTTTATTATTATTTTTATTTTATATTTTTTTTTGTTTAATTTATTTATCGAATATGTTCTTCACTGTAAATTTGGTGTTGAATATAATATTGATCTAATATTTCTGCGATTTTTAAACACATTGAATTATAGGCTGGTTCGCGGTTACATCTAGTGCAAAAGAAGGCTGTTAACGGACCCATAACGTTTTCAAGTTCAGTTTCGTTAAAAGGTACTTGCATATTATTATTCGCGTCTATTACGTGTTGTCTAAAACAACGTACATATATTGTGTTCCTTAGTACCAATTGATCATGTGTATCATTTATTAACCTATCCCTTAGTTCCTTATAAAAAACATTAAGCTCAGGCATTGGTGTGGGTTCGCTCATGTTTATATATTTTATTATATTTATTTCGAAATCCCTCTTGATTGTTTCCTGAAACATAATTATATATATAGTATTTCTTTAATAGTTTACATATACCTAGCTCTTATTTATTTATTAATCTAATTGTTTACCTCTAATTTAATTATTATTATTTCTATATTATTACTATTTTTTCTAACTTATATTTTATTATTTTTTTTTTTATTTATTGTTATTATTTAGTTTATTAATTAATTTATTTTATTATCTTGGTGAAGGGGGTGGAGTAAAGGGTGTCTCTTCATAATTTCGTATGTAGTCATTTCTATTGGGTGCCCTATATCTAACTATTCTGCCGGGAAATTCCATGACTTCTGTGGACCTGATATACTTGCATTTTATCATTATGTAAATCGCTATTATTAGTATAATAGATATTACTGCCAGTACTATTGTTACATATAGTAACTTACTGTGTACAAATTGATGCTTTTGATTTTGTTCTCTTGAAAGTTCTTGGTTAATCATTTGTTGTACTTCGTCTAAAGATTTGGATGCATCGTGTAAATCTGTGAATTGCATAGCTAGTCCCTTTTCCCATTTTTCATCTGTTTCGAATTTGTGTATATGTTCGGGTATTTTTTCTAAAATATTATTCATGTTAGTTACAGGTGTAAAGTCTTTATATTTTGTAATTTGGATTTCTTCCGTGGCAGTTAATACTGCGTCTCGTGCAAATACTTGACAACTAATGTCGTTTATAGCTATTTCTCCTGCTTCATTTGTTTGTATTATAAATGAGTCTATTAAGTTCGCGCAACTTACAGTTAAAGTCTCTTTTCCTGCGTGAATCCATGTATTTTTCTTTTTAATTTTTGGTATATGCTTCTTTTTAAATTTATTTTCTTTACTGTACATAACTCAGGATTAGCATACGTGTCAGCTTTATAAAAGTTTTGTACTTCGCATGGTTGGCGTTCATTGTTGTCCTGTATAGGTTGTGGTGTATTACATATTTTGTATATTGATGTTTCTTTACATTCGTTTAATTGTTGATCTGTGTATGTAGTAAACCTTTTATAGCCTTTGGTTACAGCAATATTATTATAAGTAATGTCCATCATGTACCATCCACTAGAATTATCTTGGTTATGACGCATTGGTACTGGTGTTAACCTGTATAATGTGAGTTCAGTGTCAATAATTAGTGGTATTACTATATCGAATACTAATCTGTCGTTCGAATAGTAGATTCTTATTTTTGTAATTTTTTGAAATTCATTTATTTCATATCTCTTTGTTCCCATCGGAATACTGTATATTTTCTTTATATTTTGTTCTATTGCTTTTAATGTTGATGCTAGTTCTTGTGGTGTCATAAGACTTGGATGTATCATACCTTCTCTAGCGGCAGTTACTATTTGTCCTAATATTTCTGTTTCGTAGGAATATTGATTAATGATTATTGTATATAAATTATGTATTTCATTTTTCATTAGTAAATCTAATATATCATTTGTTTTGTTTTGTATTTTTGACATTTTTTCGTTTAGTTTTTGTTCCTTTTCCGTAATATTATTGTATAATTGTTCGGTTTGATTTATTGTGTTACCAATACTCCTTATTGTTGATTTTACTACAGTAGTTTGAGCTGTCATTATGTGTAATATATTAGTTCCTGATTCTTCCGTTTTTTGTATAGCTTCTTGTGTTTTCTTAGTGCACTTGTCATCACATATGCCAAATAACGTATGCATGGTGTTACCTATTATGTTTATTAATCCCCTTTTCTTTCTGTTGTTTTTAATGTCCTCCATAGTACTTCCTAGCGACATATATGTACGTTCTTTCTGCTTAGTTATTTCGTTATATAAGTCTGTAATTACTAATTGATATTTCCCACATAAATCTTGATGTTTTTGGTCAGTACATAAATTTGTTATATTTTTAATTTTTTCCCCCAATAGTTCATATTTCGTATTATATTCTTTTAATGAGTAAAACATTACAAGATTGTATTGAGCCCCTATTAATCTAACTGGCCCCAACCCTTCATATTGTATACCCCTGCCAACTCCGTAAGGCGTATACGAAAAGTACTCTGATGTATTTATTTCGTCAGATTCAATAATATTGACTAGAAAACTCGTCACCATCACCAATCTAAAAGTACAAAGTATATTTATATTAAACTAACTATCTTATTATAATCTTATAAAATTAATACCATCTTACATAATCTAAAATATCTCTAGCATCATGTAAGAGTTTCATATAGTCTATTAATCGTTTACATAAAGTATTTGTGGGTGTTACCGAATCTGATGACAAATCGTACATAATTAATGTTATAATTTGCGTAATTTTTGTTATTTCAAGAGTACCAAATGGTTCCTCCATAAAATTATTTGCTGTATTAATATGTCCTATTAGACACCTCGGTGTGTGTTCCGGTCCTAAAGTATATGTTTCGTGTATTTCTTGTTCGATTGCCATTCCTAGTTCCTCAATGAATTTTCTTTGTCTGTCCCTAAAATTAAAATTTTTATTTTTTTTATCGTATTTATTTTTTGCTATTATTTTTTTGTATATTTTTTTGATTAGATTTATTATTCAAGGAAGCATGGAACCTGATGAAACCCGTACTCCGATATATGTCATTCGAAACCGTGCGTATATATTTTTTTTGTTTTGCTTAAGGATTTATTTAATTATTTTTTTTTTTTAATTATTTTTATTAGCTCGAGGGCCGGACATAATTATGGAAATTGAGTGGCCGGAGGGTTTTACCCCTTTGCCGCAACATATTGTGTCAAGAATTCTTATATCGGAAGATGAGGAAGACGAATCCGAATAAAAAAAACTTGTTTATTAAATTGAATTTATTTTCATGATGTTAACTATCATGTATATTTTTGTTTAATAAATTAGTTTTTTATCTTTATCTGAATCCGTTTTATTACATTAGTTTATTAATTTTTCTGAGAATAAATTTTAATATATGTTCGGTTTCTATTCCTAAAATTAATTTAATTATTCTAACTTAATATCTGCTATATGCTTATTATTATTTTTTTATTATTGCTATTTTTTTTTTTAATCGACTTGTGCGTCATTATAATATTTTTTTACGTTATTTCTATGTACAGTGATGACCTTGCGGCCTCGCTGTATAGCTACATTCTCGTTCCCTATAACTGCTGTGACCCGTACGGTCCTAGCCAGATTGGATCGAGTTTCGTTCTATGATTATTATCTTTTAATAGTACTAAATCATTAACGTGTAGTTCTTGTGGATTTTCATTTTTATCATAACGTTCTTTACTTTTTATTTTATTTTTAATTAAATGATCTCTAGCTATTTTATGCGAAATTTGCATATTTTCTTTTAGATCGAATATATAATCATCATAATTGTAACGTGGTTCAGGTTCGGCTTTTAATCTAATCGGTACCTCCAACGTACGTCCATAGACTAATGCGTATGGTTGAAAATTAGTAGAAGTATGTACCGTTGAATTATATACAAAGAATGCAAAGGGTAGTAAATGGTCCCAATTATTTAAATTCTTATCTACATAATGTCTTAAGTACTCGGCTAAGGTCCTATGAGCGCGTTCTACGGGGTTACCCTGCGGTCTGAATGGACTTGTGTTAACCTTTTCTATCTTTAATATTTTACAAACATTTGCAAACGTTTTCGAGAGGAAATTAGTTCCTTGATCCGTGAGTAATGTTTCTGGTATGCCGTGTACACAAACGAAGTGTGTAACAAAGGCTTCCGCAACAGTATTTGCCTTCTGGTCAGGAAGTGGAATTCCTAAAGTGTAACGTGTCAAATCGTCCTCCATCGTTAAAATGTATACATTATTGGACAGTGTAATCGGCAAGGGCCCTACTATATCCATAAATATTTTTTCGAATGGTTTAGACGAAGTGGATGTAATAGCCATTGGTTGTTTTATGTGTCGATTTGATACCTTATTAACCTGACATGACGTACAATTCCTTATATATTTTTTAACATCTTCTTTCATTCCCCTCCATATAAATTGTTGTTTTATACGTTTAGTAGTTTTATTCACACCTAAATGTCCGCCTAGTTTTGAGTCGTGAAATTGTGATAAAATGACTGCTTTTTCTTCTTCATTATATTCTACATTTGCACATATAATTATTTCTATATTTGTTTCGCGAAATATGTATCGCAACATTGACCTTATTTTTTCCCATTCTAAATCATCGTGATCGCCTAACTTGCCCATGGCTAATTTATTCAAATTGTTCTCCTTACAAAATAATTTTAAATTTATTAACGATATATATATAGTTTCGTAAGTGGCCCTCTGGCGTTCTTTGTTTTTCGTTACTAAGAATATTATAAACCGGTTTTCATGTTTGAAATATGGCGTGTCCCCTATTACTTTACTAGTTGGTAATATTATACCGTTTCCAAATTGTTTTTTTAATTGATAATTTGTTCCTGTTCTAAAATTATATTGCTTGGCAATTTCTGACACTATATTATATTCTTTTGGTGAATCTATTACTGTGCCTATAGTTTCTTTTACATTACTATTTGTGATAATTTGTGTTTCTAATTTTTCGAGAAATTTTTCATATGATTCATTTTTTATTTCCTGTATAGAGTACATGCGTGTAAGTGCATCTACATTTGAATTTAAAACTCCGGGTTTGTAACGTATTTCGTAATCGTACTCCTCTAATTGTATTCTCCATCTAGCTAACTTTGATAATGGATTTTTCAAATTAAAGAGCCACGTTAATGGACGATGGTCACTAAGTATTATAAACTTCCTACCGTATAAATATGGTCGAAACTGTTTAACTCCGAATATTATTGCAAGACATTCTAATTCTGTTGTTGAATAGTTGCTTTCGCTTTTATTTAATGTGCGCGACGCATAACATATTGGCAAATCTTTACCTATTTCTCCTTGAGATAAAATAGCTCCGAGTGCTTTATTACTCGCGTCTGTAGTTAATAAGAAGGTCTTTGTGAAATCCGGATATTTTAAAACTGGTTCTGAGCATAACGCTGCCTTCAAGGTATCGAATGACTTTTGACATTCGTTACTCCATACGAAACTCGTGTCTTTCTTTAATAAATTGGTTAGTGGTTTTGCTATTGCGCTATATGAATTTATGAATTTCCTATAATAACCACTTAATCCTAAAAATGATTTAATGTTTTTTACGGTTGTTGGTATTGGAAATTCTACTACTGCTTTTAATTTACGTTCGTCGGGTTTTATTCCGTCTTTCGTAATAACGTGTCCTAGTTATACACATTCTCTTTTTAAGAAGTTGCATTTATCTGGTTGTAATTTTAAGTTGCTTATTCGTAAACGCTCGAAAACTTCTATTAATTTTTCGTTATGATCATATAAATTTTTCCCATATACTATTATATCGTCTAAGTATACTAAGCATTTTATTCCTATTAAACCTGCCAGAGCTGAATTCATAACTCTTTGGAAGGTTCCGGACTCGTTTTCATTCCCTGTATCATTCGTTTGAAATGCCAGTGACCTTGGTTAGTCGAAAAGGCTGTTAACTCTCGTGAGTCTTCTTCCATCAAAATTTGGTAAAAACCACTCGATAAATCTAATAGAGAGAATAATTGACTATTTCCTAGTTGATCTAGTATTTCTGTAATATTTGGTAAAGGGTGAAATTCATTTATAGTAGCTTCGTTAAGTGCCCTAAAGTCTACTACTACTCTAAACTTTTGTTTTCCTGAATTGTCCATTTTCTTTTGTACTAATAATAGTGGGGAATTCCATGGACTTCTCGATTTCTCGATAATTCCATTTTCTTCCATTTTTTGAATTTGTGAATTTATTTCCTCCTGTTGTGCGTGTGGTAATCTATAAGGTCTACGATAGATAGGTGGCTGATCCTTTTTTAACTTAATAGAATGTGTACCGACATTGGTAAATGTTAAAACATCCCCTTCCAAATGAAATATGTTATTATATCGTTCGCATATTTCGTAAATAGATTGTTTTTCAATTTCGTCCATGTGGTCAGTTATTATTACTTGTTTCAAACGTTCTATTCGTTCTTTATGATCATTTGTCGATTCTACATTATATATTTCGTATTCAGTATCAAAGAGTATTTTATTTAAATCAAATTCAGATATATTTTTCGTTTCCTCCGAGATATTCAACATGCTAACTATTGCCCTACCATTATTAACGATTGATACTGTACTACTGCAATATACGTCTTTTACTAGTTCTTGCTTATGTATAAATATTTCTTTGCTTTCTATGAGTGGGTCAGCTATCTGTATTCCTACAATAGTTTCAGTCCGCGGATTTAATTTAATAAAACTGGTTTTGTCGGTCTCCTTGAAATTTGTTAGCGCATGCGAGGTCGTTTGAATAATTAATTTGTTGTTTGCTACATCGACTATTGCGTTATTTTTCGACAAGAAATCGTTTCCTAATATTCCGTCCTTGGGTATTGGAAATCGTGCACTCACGATATGAATTTCTGTTTTAATGTTTTCGCTATTTAATTTAATTAATATTGATATTTTCCCTATGGTTTTTGTAAGACATTCATTTATACCGCGTAGATTTATTTTTTGCGTTTCGTCTACTTCTAGTTCTTCGCGTAAGCAATTTATTTTGAGAATATTTACCTGACTACCTGTATCTATCATTAAATGTAATTGATTTGTTTTTGCGGCATTAGAATCGAATGTTATATGATTATTTTCTAGTTTTGCGAATATGTGAAATATTCGTTCGTCGGTTGTTCCGCGATAATCTGGTTTATCGTGCGAGTACCGCGTACCTCGTTCGACACGTTGGCGTTTCCCGAATTATTTCTACTTTCGTCGTTTCTCTTTTTGTAACATGAATCTACGTTATGACCGTTTTTATTGCAATATGAACACGTAACTGGTTGTGCATTATAATTTGTTGGCGGTTGCGTAAAATTATTTCTATTAGGTGGACGGTTGTTATTTCCGTTGCTCGCGTAGTTAGGTCTCGAATTATTTCTACATTGTGATGCAAAATGATTTCCATTGCAGTTATAACATTTTATTGGTGGTCTATTAATTGGCTGAGAAAATTTGTTTGCTCGTGGATTATTATTTTGCGCAAAATTATTCGGCCTTACAAAGTTATTTGGTCTTACGTTCCTGTTGTTCCTATTTTCATAATTCGATCTACGTTGGTTATTGTTTTGCGAATAACTACTCGAATAATGATTCCTATTTTCCTGTTCTAATCTTAATTCTACCTGTTCTGACATAGCGATTTGTTTCGCGATTTCAAGAGTTTTAGCATTACGAGATTTTACTATCGTTCTAATTGGTTCTACTAATCCTTTAATAAATACTGCTAGAGTTTGGTCCCTTAATGTTTCATGTATATTTTTTGCTTCTGCAGGCTCTTTGTTTAACGTGCTTACAGTACATAATTGATAATATAGTTTTTCTACTCTATGGCAATAATCGTTCACATCCTCATTGTGATTCATTCTAATCGAATTTAATTGAAGTTGTAACGTCGATGCATTGGTTGTTACTTCGAATGCGTCTGTTAAATATGCTTTTATAAATTGCCATTTTGTTACGTTTTTATATTCAATCATTTCTAGTGCTCTACCCGTTAATCGCGTAGTGATATATTTTACTAATATTGGTGCGCTAGTTGCGTCGACTAAACCTACTGCCATATCACATGCATTTATGAATTGGTAAATATCGTCTATCCCTGTGCATACTGGAATTAATTTAAAAGCGTCTTCTAATTTTATGGTTACTGCCATTTTTTTATTGCGTGATTTAGATATAAAATCTAACGACTGATGTTCAAAACTATCTGTGACTTTGCTACGTGTGACTACTCCTAATTGTGGACTTGGGGTTTTACTTGTGCTACCTACTAACTTGGTATCTACTATAGTATTTAACTGGGCTTCCTGTTGGGCTTCAAACTGGGCTTGGGCTTCTCTCTGGGCTAATAACTGGGCTTCTAACTGGGCTTCTTCTACTACACTAGTGTCATACAATGAATTAGCTACGTTCAAGGGAGATGTATCTTCTTTGTCCATAAATTAACTTAACCACCTATTTAATACGTTAATAATCATAATAATACTCAATAAAATTCAATCATGCCCTATAAATACAATAATAACTTCAATAATATGCCCTCTAATAAATTCAATAAACTTCAATAATACTTCAATAATAAAAATGCCCTCAATAAATAATAATCAATAATAACTTCAATAAAAATATGCCCTCAATAATAAAACTTCAAATAATCAATATGCCCTCAATAATTCAATAAACTTCAATAATAATCAATAAAATATGCCCTCAATTAAATTTAAAACGGTTTACACCATTACAATTATAATCAACTACCTAGATTTATCTTAATATGTCTTAATTATGTTGCATACGTCTATGTAACAAATTTAAATAACTATTCACTCACAATAATGCTGCGTTCATGGCTGATGATGACATGTTGCCGTTGATGATGCTGCTAATGGATTTGTTGGTACTGCAATGTGACTTATTTGTTTTTTGTTGGTTCCTCCTGGAGTTGTCTTCGCTGAAGAGTGATCAATTCCTCGTTGTTGACAGTAGCCTTTGATGGTTGCCTCCCTTTGTGGAATCCTACCGACTGCGCCAGTGTTACATGCGGCCCTTCAGGGATCCAAAAGCTGGTGTACTTGATAAATAATAATAGTCAATTAGAATGGTAATCAAATGTATTATATTAACCCAGACAAAACAAGCAGAATAATAGTGTTGATTGTAGTGAATTTGTAGCTAATTCCGAAGTTGATAATCTCCGTGTAAGTCGTGTGTGATGGCTGGGCGGCTAAGCGAGTCGTGTGGTGTTCTCGTCTCTGGATACATCTAACTCAGGCTGTCTCGCTGTCCCCTATATATATGGTGGCGGCGTCCTTTGAAAGTGAGCGGCGCGTGTACAGTCGTCCTTGATATGGACCTCACGACTATGAAAGTGGTATTCGTAGTCGAAAACACTTTTGGGTGTGGTCGCATTCCTGGTTGTTATTATGAGCAAATATATGATATTGCGTAATCCCATTACAGCGGAAAGAAGCTCCAACAAGACCTACCCGGGATAATTTTGCGGTTTCGTCTACATCCCATTGTGTTTACGGCAGATATAAAAAAGATGTTTCGTCAAATAGTTGTAACTGAAAAGCATCGTCCCTATCAGCGATTGTTATATAGATTCAACCCAGAGGAGCCTGTGAAGGAATATGAAATGAATAGAGTTACTTTTGGTCAAATATGTTCTCCATTTATTGCGATTCGTACGCTACATAAACTGGTCGACGATGAAGCGTCTAACGATGAAACATTAAAGGCTATCATCCATCGGGATCTTTATATCGATGACATAGTCACCGGTACAAGTACTCTAAACGAAGCGCTCGAATTGACACAAAACCTAATCACATTATTCAAAAAGGGTAAGTTCGAACTGCGAAAATGGTTAGGCAACTCTGAGCAACTGTTAACCCATATTCCGCTAGAACACCGACAAGTACTGCCAATTACTTTCGAAGAACGGGATTCCGGCTGTACAAAAGTTCTCGGTTTAAAGTGGGACCCAAAAGTGGACTCACTCAGCTACCAATATCAACCCTGTCCAGTAAAATTCAGCAAAAGAGCAATACTATCAGAAATCGCGCGTATCTATGATCCTCTCGGCCTTCTCACTCCTGTTACAACGGATTTAAAAAGACTAATGAAATACCTTTGGTTGGTTGGAGTAAATTGGGATGAAACAATACCTGAAGAAGCAATGACCTCTTTTACCCAATACCACCGAGAGTTACCCGTTCTAGCTACCCTGCAAATTCCTCGCATGGTTACCCATCCGAATGCTACATACGAGTTACACGGGTTTAGTGATGCCTCTGAAGTAGCGTATGCGGCTGCCGTGTACCTAAGAATTGATACTGGCACAGAAGTAAGGTGTCATCTCTTGATGGGAAAATCTAAGATAGCACCGGCTAAGAAGATATCTGTTCCGAGACTAGAGTTATGTGGTGCTTGGTTATTAGCTCGTCTTCTTGAGTTTGCGAAAGATAACTTGTCCACAATCAATATAGAAAAGGTTACCGCATGGTCTGACTCCATGGTAACGCTACATTGGATAAGAAGTTCGACCTCACGACTGAAAACATTCGTAACAAATCGAGTATCCAAAATTCAATAACAGACTCATGTGGAAAATTGGCGCCACGTACCAACCAATGACAACCCAACGGACTGCGCATCCAGTGGGCTCAGACCCGACCTTTTAGCCAACCACGACATATGGTGGTGTGGTCCTCCGTTTCTCTGACAACCTGAAAGAGAATGGCCTGTGGAGAATACGTTGAGTCCTATTAGTTGTTCAGAGGAAGAAAATGAAGAAAAACCTATTACGCTTTTGTCCCAAGGAAAGGAGGAAGACTGCCGGCTTCTTTACCAATCAGACAACTTACCAAAAGTGTTAAGACTCACCGTCTATTGGTTAAGATTTCGAGATCGTCTTAGAAAAAAACCGTTCTTACCGAGCACTTCTCCACCTACCACCGACGAAACGGACAGAGCACTTCGATCATTAGTACGCTGGACTCAAGACGTATATTTTTCCGACGAGAAAAAAGACCTCTCCATGGGAAAACCAGCTCGGAGGCATTTAAGAAAATTAACACCGCTTCTGGATGACGATCACTTGTTAAGGGTGGGCGGTCGTTTAGGATATGACGAAATTCCTTACAATGAAAAACATCCCTTCTTGTTGCCAAAGTCTGCGTGATTAACTGAACTCCTAATCGACTCTACCCACCGGAAAAACGGACATCCAGGACCACAGACGGTACAGTATTTACTACGTCAAAATTACTGGATCCTTTCATCACGAAGTGTCATCAAACAAAGAATTCATCGATGCATACCGTGTTTCCGCGCAAAACCTCGCCTGGCCCAACCTATTATGGGAAACCTACCGTCGTTTCGTATTTCCCAAATCAAGCCATTTTGTAGAACCGGAGTAGATTTTACTGGACCCTTCCAGGTAAAAGCAGCAATGATTCGAAAAATAAATGTCACAAAGGCGTACATCTGTATTTTTGTATGTATGGTAACAACAGCCGTTCACATTGAACTAGTTTCCGACCTATCGACTCCATTGTTTATAGCTGCACTTGATCGGTTTATTGGACGAAGAGAGAGATTATTGGACGAACAGACATTTATAGCGATTGTGGAACGAATTTCATAAGAACGAACCGATATCTACAAGAAGTATACTCCATACTGAAAGGACCTCACTGTGTTGAAAATGCGGTGGATAATCAAATCCGTTGGCACTTCAACCCTCCAGCCGCCCCTCACATGGGTGGTTTATGGGAGGCTGCCGTAAAATCAACCAAAACCCTTTTATTACGAATTATTCAAGACAGGGTCCTGACGTATGAAGAACTTAATACCGTACTGCATGGAGTCGAGTCAACCCTCAATTCTCGCCCTCTTAGCTCCATGTCGTCCGACCCGAATGATTTCCAAGCCTTCATGGCAGGACACTTTCTAACTATGGCCCCATTGGTATCCGTTCCTGCACCCCACGATCCAGATGAACTTAGCAGGATAAGTAAGAGTAAACGCTGGTCATTAATTCAACAAATTCACCAACATTTTTGGATCCGGTGGCAGAAAGAATACATACTATCCCTGCATGAGTGATCAAAATGGACCCGTCCTAATCGCAACATCCAAGTGGGAGACCTGGTATTAGTGAACGAAAAAAGTGCCCCTCTGACATGGCCTACAGCCCGAGTGGTCGAAGTTCATCCAGGAGCTGATGGGATCGTCCGAGTGGCAAAAGTAAAGCTGTCAACGTGAAAAATCTACACTCGGCCCTCAGTGAAACTGTGTCCTTTACCCCTCTCTGATTGAAGACCGGGTCTTCAAGGTGGGCGGTATGTTTGATAAGCGATAGGACGAGCCTAGTGCCGTCCGTATTATCAACCGAAATATGTACGTGTGTGCAGCGAGCCAGTCACGGCTCCGCGTTCGACCGAGTGTGTACCGAGTGCGACCGTCCGAACCACCGATACCACTGTCACCACCGATACCACCGTCACCACCGATACCACTGTCACCACCGATACCACCGTCACCACCGATACCACCGTCACCGTCGATACCACCATCACCTGGATTACTACTGTCTACCTAACCACCGATACCACCGTACCACTGTCACCGTCGTTACTACTGAGCTCGAGAAGAGCTCGCTGTCGCCCATACGGTTTTTATACCTATTTGTATTTATTGTTATTGTGTATTTTATCATTAAGTTACCCCTTTCGCTGGCCAGCACTCCTTGTGCCCCAATTATTATTAATTCTGTTACTTTTTTCCGAATAGTAGTCCGTTAACCACGGCAAAAGAAAATCAGACTTCTTATTATTATTAGTAAATACCTAAATCCTAATACAGTCCACATTATCCTCGAAGTACCGAACAGTATTGGTTTCCAAACTGTCCTGGTAACGGCCCCATCAAGTCCAGTGAAATCCTTTCTTTGGGTTTCTCGGGAATGTTTGCCATCAACGGTCCCCTAGTATTTTGGTTTGGGATCTTGCTTCTTTGACATAAATCACATCGCTTGATTATTTGTTTGATGGTGTGGTACATATTGTGTATCTAATATTCTCTTCGTGGCATGTCGTGTACTTTATCTGCTCCAAAATGTCCGAATAATTCGGGAGTTTCTAACACTATGTTTTGTACAATAATTTTGGGGAGCATGAGTTTCTCTCTTCCGTCATTATCAATGAAGAAGAGTAATCCTTGGTGTATTTTGTAACTGTGGGTTTCATGCGTTTTGATGCGGTCTCGGATAGTATTCAACTCTTCATCTTGGTCCTAGAGATCCTTCATCTGTTCGAATTGTCATAATAGCTTCGTGCTATACTGGTTGTGTAGCACTTTATTGATGTAAATAGTTGTTTTTTTTATTTCATCCCTGTCCCCTGGACTTTGTGGGTAGCGGGTTAAAGTGTCTGCTCCAATGTTGTCCTTTCCGGCAACATGGGCTATTTGCAGGTTGAACTCTTGTAGTTTGATTTCCCATCTCATCAACCGTGCATTCAGTAGTTGTCATTGATTGAGGAACGTCAGTGCTTTGTGGTCTGTAATAACATTTACTCTATACCCCAATATATAATTCCTATATTTGGTGCATCCAAAAACAATTGCTAATAATTCAAGTTCAGTAGTATAGTAATGCTGTTCTGCGTCATGCAGTTTTCGACTAGCAAATCCTAACGTTCTATGTCGTCCTTCCTCATCCAGTTTATATAGTTCCGCTCCTAAGTGCGTTTTTGACGCGTCGGTGGCCAAATAAAACTCTCTTGTGAAATCCGGATATTCAAGGACTATATCATCCTAGAACTGTTCTTTTATAGTTTGGAATGCCTCGCGTTGTTCTTCGTTCCATTCCCACTCAGTATTCTTTTTGGTGAGTTGGCTTAGAACGGTAGTGTATTTTGACAGATCCCTTATATACTGGCGATAGAAATTGATGAACCCTAGAAAAGATTGCACTTGTGTTTTACTCTTAGGTTCTTGGAAGTTCTGTATTACATTTATTTTGTCTGGATCCATGATAAGTCCCTTTTCAGAGATTATATGTCCCAGGAATATAATTTGACTGCATAGAAATTGTGATTTTTTCATATTGATTTTTACATTATACTGCTGGAAACGGTGGTAAATTTTCTCTAGGCCGTTCATATGTTCTGAAAAAGTAGTCGAAGTGACGTGGATATCATCCACGTATACAGCTGTGAATTGTAATACTTCCGATCCTAAGACCTTGTCTTAAATTTTCTGGAACTCTGCTACCGAGTTTACAAGTCCAAAAGGGAGAACTTTAAACTGGTAGTTTCTTCCTCGGTATAAGAATGCTGTGATTCCCCTGCATTCTTTCTTTAGTCGAAATTGCCAATACCCGGCCGTTAGGTCGATCGAACTTAAGTATCTGGCTCCTTGAAACTTCATTAAGATCTCGTCGATGTTAGTGGGTCGTTCTCGGTCCGGGACTATTCGGGTCTATTCGGGTGTTAATTTTCCTCACATCCAGGCAGAGTTGTACCTCTCCGTTTCTTTTTTCGACTCCAACAATGGGAGACGACCATGGGGAATTTGAAGGTTCAATTATCCCCAAGTGTAGCATCCGTGCCACTTCCTTATCCATTTTCTCTAATTTGGAGATCGGTATAGGATACGGTTTTTGATCGATAGGCTCTTCAGGGATAACTTTGATTTTTCATTCATGGTCTGCAATTTCGCCTGGATTCTCTGAGAATATGTGTTCATATTTCCATAATAGTTCGTTGAATATGACAATTTCTTCTGGAAGTAGTTTTCCCTCACTTATTCTTTCCCTGGCAATTTCAACTTGTTGGAGTGCAGTACTGTCCCCTGGTTCACTAGTTTTCTGTTCTCTGAATGGTGTAATATGTTCCTTTTCATTGATACGCCATCTAATCGTTTTATTTTGAAAATCGATCTGTACGTCATACTTGTCTAATACGTCAGTACCGATGATTCCCCGTTCGTTGAGAATTTCCATCTGTACAAATGTTACCAATATATCTGCTTCATTGAGTTCGCATGAGCAGTATATTTGCTTCGAAACTTTACATAACTTCTTACCGATTGCGTTGCTGATCTGGACTCCACTTACCGGTAGTATGTGCACACTTGGGTTCTTTTTCAGTATGCGGTCGACGACTTCTTTAGCCAAGACGCTTACCGTGGCTCCGGTATCAATTAGAAGGTTGACTCTTTCTCCCTCTATGTTGCATTGTAGGTATGGACTGATGGTCTTCTTGTTCATGGGAATATTATTTATCGTATGTGTGATTTCTTCTGCTGGTTCTTATCCCTCGTTCTCTTCAATTGTTATCTGTCGAACTTTGTGTTGGTCTCTCCATTGATTACTGTTTTGCCCCGGTTGGTTGAAGTTTCTATTATTTTCCGTATTTTGTGTATTACCATTTTTGTTTTCCTGCCATCTTCCATATTGCTGATTGGTGTTGTTTGGTCGGTTATAACCATTGTTATGACGTGGTTTATTGTCATTAGTGTTCCGTGGTATGTTGCTATGGCGTTGATTATTGTCATTGCCGTTCCGTGGATTACTGTCTCTCGTTGGTACTCTCCTTCGATGTTCTTCGGCTCCGAGGACCTTCATCGCATTAATTATTGTTTTTTGTGGTAGAGAGGTCAGTATTGCCCTTAAGTACCCGGGGTAGTGTCCGGCAATGTTTTGTACAATTTCACCTTCGCTAAGGTATGGCATTTCCAAGTGTCGGAGGTTCGTGGCCCAGTACATGAAGTGTTCCCGATATTTTACGTCAGCCACGATTTGTGTGGCGTTTAGGCATTAGCTCCAGACCTGTATCTGAAACTCTTTGGACCAGTATTCATCGATAAATACTCTTTCGAATTCTTCGTAATTCCTGAGTTGGAATCTTATTGCCAAAAACCAACTGCCTGCGGTGCTTTTCAAACAGTCTTTTACCACAATCAGCTTTTCTTCATCGTTTTATTGCAAAATACTCCCATAGTTCATTTATGAAATCTCTTGGGTGTTGTTCCTGACGATTTCCGTAAAACGTGGGTTTTGTGATGTCGGTGGCTTGTTTTTGAGGCCGACAGTTCTCTTCTCTGAGTTGCGTTTGTCTTGTTTCGTCTAAGTTGCGAAACGTATTTAAATATCTTTCTTCCATCTCGTCCATGTACCTCTTTCTTCGTTTTTTTTTCTGTTTCTTCCAGTTTGTTATCGTATTTTCTTTTTATTTCCTCGATTTTTTCATCGTATTTTCCTTTCATTTTATTCTCCAGATTTTTTATTCTGTTTTCAACAGATTTTTCTAATGCTTCAATTCTGTCCATAATATTCTCTTCGTTTTTATCAAGTCTCTTTTTCGGAGCCATGTTGATTTATAGATGTAGTTTTTTTAGTAGGAAGAGCACGACATTCTTAGTGGTGGTCGTGAAAATTCGAGCTTCGCGTTGGGCGCCAAATGTAATGAACGGAACACATATTCATTAAGGTTAATACCATTTATTGTATTTGTATAAACAAATTAATATAACACAATAAAATATAAAACATAAAAAATAATATACACGTAGTAATAACAATTTAATTATCCCGCGTTCCTGATTACGGGTAAAATAAAGATAGGAATATAATTCAAATGT